TCATAGATGAAGGTATACCTATGATGAAAATTACAGGCCTCTCTCATCTTTTTAAGTGGGAGAACTTGCACAATTGGTGGTTGACTAAATACTTTTTTGCCCCACTGTATGTCATATGGGCTGTTTTTATTTTAGCTGCATATTATTTTTTGTCAGGTCAAACCAAGTATTTTACCCTTTTAAACTGAACTACAAGCACTGCTAAAAGAATTTACAAAGTCTAAGTGTCAAAAGAACCCACATGTCAAACCTGCTAGGACATCTGCTGTGTAATTCCTTAAAGCTGAGAACACTTATTAATTCTATATCCCAATTAAGGTGAAATAAAATGGCTTTGAAGTCCATGATTGCTTCCAGCTTTTCTTAGGCCCACAGCAAAAGAGAATATTTATTTGGCCAAAATACGCCTGTGTCCATCAATCCCCAATGTATTATTCACCTGTCATGCTCTTTATCCACCAAATGATACCTGGCTCTGAAGGCAACCAGGTGTGCATAGTACGCCGGCGCAGGGATTGAAACAGAACGAGTACAACGCACATACGTATGACACAGTTGGTAAGTGAGGATCTGAAGTTCATCTGAAGAGAAGCGATTGTCATCCCAGAGAACATGGTAATGAGACGGTCTGCTTGTGCCCTGAAAATGGACCACAAACAAGGCTAAGAAAAGGTCTTCATCTCTCCACCAGTCAACCTTCTTTTGGCAAGAGGCCACTCTAGACTTCTAAAAATTGCCCAGCGGTATTTCTTCTTTGAAGGACAAAGTAACCAACTGTATGTGAGAATCACTATACAACTGTCTGCCCAAGTTGTTACTGACTTCAGAGTAAGAGATGCATGGGATAACATCAACATTGAAGATCGAGAGTAAATTCAAAGAATCTGATATGTACCAACTGTAAAGAAAATAATAACTTGGTCTGCTCACATTGAAATTTATGCTAATTCAGAACTAGAAACAGCCTTTCAGAGCAAAGGGCACGTGCTCATTCACAACGTGTATATAGTAAGATCAAAGTATCTGCAATGTCAAACTTCCTACTTCTTTTTCTCTTGATTTATGCTTTCATCTGAAACTCCTGAAAATGTGTTATATTTTGGGAGAAGCAATTCTTCCCAGTTCTCTCGTGCAAGAGAACTTTCTCTCTCCTTCATGCTGCAGAAAGAATTGAAAATAAATTTAATTACAGGATGAGGTAGAGAAGAAGGAATGTTCAACCACACGAATGCGCAGCTGAGAACCACATGCTGACACAGAGGCACCCTGCAGTGCGCTGCGCGCCCAGAATATACCTGAATCCCAGCATGACTACACAGATAGAAGTCAAACTCCGAAGGGTGGGTGATTTTTGTGTCCACGGTTGTACCTGCTGGAATGTTTCCACTTTTCCCAACCTGTGGAAATAAAACCAAAGGATGCAAGAGTTCACATCCTGGCACCAAAAAGAATATGCAAAAAAATTCTTTAGTTTGCCAATTCAGAGGCTACAGTAGTATGGCCTGTTGACCACTTATTATTTTTAAGTCAAAACTCTGACTATAGATTTCTTATTTCATCACTTGCCAACTTCTCTCCAAAAATGTAATACCTACTCTTTCATTTTTGTCTGTGCAAAACAGTCTGGTGTGATGTCTTTTCTGCACAACAATGAACGTGATCCCCGGCTGATAATCCTTTTCTAGCTTAATGCATGCTTCTCGGATAGCCAGCAATTCATGATGAAGAACCTATACCAATGAAAATGGGAGGGAGAGGGAAGAGACATCTTGAAATGTTACCAATTAAGAAAACTCCTTCCAACCTGTTTATTTATATATATGTTCCTTCAGGTATTCTTCCTGCAGCAAAACAGGTGATCTGAAGCATGCAAAAACACAGGACCAACCCCACATTCTTGACTTAATGAGGTTAAACTAGCTAGATCTGGAGCAAGAACAACACTGCAACCATAAAAACCTATATGGGTCCAGGCATGCTACTCTGTTGGGCAAGCACAATATATTATCACAACCATGCAGTCATTCATTGTTAAGACTTAGTTTAGACAACACTGAAACAGACAGTTTAGAGGGAGGGTATGGGTCAGAATCAAACCAGAAATGCTCCTGCATTAACTTGAAGAACCAACTTTAAATCAGTTACTGATAAGTTTTCTTTTTATATACATTTGGTCTATATAAAGACAGCTACACTTGGGCAGGGTAGCAGGACAAGCCAATTCCTGCACCCGAAAATGTTCCTTGCCTTGGAAGTCAACGGTTTAGCAGCTAGAAGTTATTATAAATCCCTCTGCCCTCTCAATCAATCTCACAGCATCAGAGGAAAGAAATGACTAGTGAGAGACTTAGCAATGCTCCAGTCTTCTGCAAAAACCCCATGCAAAATGGGGGCAGTGCTCCTCTCCTCAGCAAGAGCTGGAAAATATTTGTACTTCTGTTCAATCAGATACGGATGAAGGCAATTTTGATATGCAATACAGACAGCATGATAGATTTCTTCAACATGCTGGACTACGTTCTTGGAATTATGACAACTAACAATTTAAGACGTAACTAACATTCATCTATACTGTACTTCCCTTCTCAAAATAAAGCCACACAAAGAACACAAGGAAAGGAAAACAGGACCAGAACCTGCTGGAACTGCCCCTCGGAAACGCCATCCCTATAGAAAATAATCCGTGTTGGCTTGAATCGGGTTGATTTGTAGAACTGGATCAGCAGCTCCCTAACCATGGCAGCCAAGTCTTGAATTATTTCTTGGCGATGCTGCTGGACCCTCACAGTGGCACAGTAGCGATTCGGATGGGCATCCATGCTGCCTACAACCTGTGGAAGAAAGCAGGGGTGTTTCTCGTGAACGAGCAGACTGAAGAACTGAGAACGCAGCAACTTTATGGAATGTCCCCATCGCGTGTGGCAGCACCTATACCACTGGAAAAAAGCCCCGAGCAGCTGAAGGGGCTTCTCAGTGCAGAACTCCCAGCTACCCTATGCTTTGGGAATTCTGGATGTGGCAATTCCATCACATCTGGAGTCTGTCACACTGGGACAGGATGATCCAGGGCAAGAACCATAAGGAGAGCAATAACGGGGTGATTACAGACACATCAGGCAAAAAGAGAAATTATCCATAAGCCCACATTTTTCCCAACTTGCCCTCTTCAAGTACACTGAAACATTAAGGCGTTGAAGTGTACCACTGCTTATCAAGAATAACATGGCCCATTTTTAAAGTTTCAATATCTTCTGAAGTATCTTCTTTTACTTATTTAAACATTTGTAAGCTAATTTTCACCACCCGAAAGCCTCCAGAACAGCTTCTGGTATTGGCTCAGAATAACCACAATATGAAAAATCCCAATTAAAAGTTCAGGTACATAAAGCAGTATATCATACAAAAACAAAACATGCACAACTGTGACCAGATCTCTCAGGCACAGATGGCTAAGGGAGTGGTGGCCTCGTGATGATCTGCTATCATAATATCAAGACACAAACCCCATTATTTACATAATTGCAGCCCAACATCAGAACGCAAGTACACTGTACACATGCCATCATTTCTTCCTTATTGTGGTTACCTGTGGACACCTACGCGTTGGGGACTGAATACTATGACCTGGCCAATGATGCTCAAAAAGACTCTGTCTTAACTCGCTGCAAGATTCCATTCTTGCAGAAAATGGAACAGATATCAGAACCTCCTCATGAAACAATTGGGAGATGATTGGTGCCTACCCAGAAGACTTTGTTGCCCATAATTTTGATGACTATGGGTAGGTTGGTCACTAAGTTCTCCTTCCAAGTCTTTCCAGATGAAGGAAGATTGTTGACTTCTCAATTCTCCTCTCCCACAACTCCTAAGAAGTTTATTAAGATCTCTAAGCTTTCTGAAGGTGACAGATTTTAACAATGACCTCCCAACTTGTCCAAAGGATATTTTGCACAGGTTTCTTATTACGAAGTAGAGGCTGATGGGTATGCATCCACCTAGTTTCCTTTTACATCTATCCAGGGAAATAACATACCCATTGCCATGTTGCTGAATGTTACAATTTCCATAAATTTTCCTTCATTCAATGCATCTTGGCGGTATTGAGACAACATTATCTTTAAAGGGACTTTTTCAGTTCTTATATGCAACAAATCTATCATATCCTAAACTTGCTCTAGGGACATCACTAACTTTATACCCCATATTCATGGGGACAGGGTGTGTCCTTGAGTCATGTTCTGTCCATCCTGCATCTTTCTTTTGGTGTTTTCTAGAAGAAAAGGTGTGACTTACAATTGCTTGATCCCCTTTAGATTCTAAAGATCTATGGATGAAGATTAAGCTCAACCTCCACTGAACTGATTCTTTTTTTCCTACCTGATCTGCTATGGAGCAAAGCACACCCACTATAGGTTAGACCAATGAAACAGACCTGTCACAAAGGGTGGAAAAAGATTGTTCTAAACAAGTATGAAGCGCCTTCTAAAGCAGTTCCAAGATAAGCCTTCTTCAAAACTGTTTTGGACAACTGAGGGAGGGGGGAGCAAGAGATGCTAAGTAGGAAAAATTATGTCAGATAAAATACAAATATAATAAAGAAAATACAGGCTATAAATTCATATGTTACTCACAGCAGCAATAGATGGTTTTTTCCCATCTCCGGCTGGTGGATGAGTGACGTCTGCACCCAGGAAGATGACAGGCTGCTGAAATACTGGAGGTCTAATTAAGAGAGCATAACAAATATTTACACAACACAATCAATGAGGCAAGCTTACCTTTGTATGTTCTCCAGGAAACAACAGAACACAGACTATACCACAGGGTTTTGCCAGCATATGTTTCCTTCTGGTGACAGACAAAGGGTGTTGGGCACCATCTATAGCCTGGCCCTGGGCTTTAAAGGCTCAGGAGCAGCAACGGCATTTCTTGCTCAGCCGTTCTGTGTAACATGATCAGAAATATAACCTCTCCATGTGAGAACCCCAGAAGAGCCCAGCTGGATCAGGCTAGGACTCAAAAATCCCGGTAATCAAATGGCCAACCACATGAACTGAGAAGAAGCTTACAAATAAAAGCAGGAGTGGGATAGCCTTTTTCCACTGTTGTTCCTCAACAGCTGGCATTTAAAGTACGTTGCCTGTGAATCAAGAGCTTGTGGAGAGCCATCACCACATCTAGCTCGGTGACTTTGTCTAACTCCTTTAAAATAATCTGAATTGATGGCCATTAATACATCTGATAGCAACAAATTCCATTTTTTAACTTTGTGCCGTGTAAAGGAATACTCCTTTTCTTAAACCTCATGACATCTCCTTTGTTTAAGTTTTAATGGAAGAGCTTAACTTCTAACATCTTCTACACCATTAATTACTTTTTATACCTCTATCATATTATAAGACATAAGCTGAAAAGCATCAAACATTATAGTTCTTTTTTTGCAGAAAAGTAGTTTCAACCCTTCATCATTTTGGTTCACCAGGAGACATTTCTGTTGAGGCCAAAGATGTGTACACAGATTTATTTATTTTTTTGTTACTCTTCTGGGACAAGTCTCTAATCATGTCCTATTTTGGCACTAACACTGCAGGCTGCTATTGCAGAAACATACACACACCTGTTCACAGAAGAGTTATGCTGTGGAATGCAACCCAGTAAGTTTTTCTGGGCCTTTTGGTGATAGTTTTTCAAAGACATGAGGCCCATCAAATTGAAGTTTCTATCAGGCTTTATGGCAGAGAAATCTGTGCAATGGTATGGAGGGCTACAACTGATGTTGAATGAGGTTAAAATATGATGCATGATGACCAGAGGTTCTCCTGGGCTCAAAACTAATTGATGGGAGCAAAAGTGGCATTGATAGCCAATAGTTTTTAACCAGCTTTAAGTGATCTTTTGAGGAAACAAGAACGTGCAAGTCATTCATGCTCCAGCTCAGGGATGGAGAGATGCTAGGGCATTACAAAAGCAGGGCCAGTGATGAGGACTGCTGGGAACTGTAACTCAACATCCAGGGTGCCTCAAGTTCCCCCATCCATTTCCTACTTATAGCTAAACAAAACGATTGGAGTGATGTGTGACTACCTTTCAAAATGGCTCAGAAGCTTCAACCAGTGGAGAATACAGCTATCCAGTTGTTTGGAGAGCCAAAACATCAGAGCATATCACACCACTCTGCATCAGCTGCCATGGCTGATCTTTGAACCCATTCAAAGTGTTACTGCCATTAAAATCCAGATTACTTGATTTCTAAAGACCCGCTTTACAGTTGTTCCTAACTGACAAGTCCAGTTATGGCGTATTCAATAAATCATGGTTAAATGATAGAGTAGCACAATGTGAGGGCCAGTAAGAGATTTTCTCTCCCTTCCTCCCTTTTCAAATAGTGATATCAACACAACACATAGTAAGTTTTGAGTTATTGGTTTTTAAACTAACAAACTTTAGTTTTGAATTATTCTTTGCTTCAGATTCAACAGCCCAGCCATGAATGAACTTATAATTATTTTGCCTTTGCCTCCTTCAGCCACAGAACTAGTCACAACTGGAGAGTTGCTTGGTACAATATAAACAAGAGACCTTCACAGATTCCAGCTTGATCCCTCAGTTCACAATTAAAAGCTTTGGGATTCTGCCTTGCTATTAGATATTAATTAAAATCTAACCACAAAAACCAAGCGTTTATTTTTTTAATTAAGCAATGCCGCAGGATAAAATTACACCAAGCTAAATAGAACTATTTTCGTGGAATGTTAAGAAAAACTGCACATTAACTGCACATTAGGTAACTATACAAATTATTCAACCAAACGAATGAATAAAATGCTTTCTTCCACAGCACAGTGTTTATACTTATTTATATCCTAAAAATCCTTACCTTCCTTGTGGCAATAAAATGTTATTTACTCCTCCTAGTTTGACATTGATCTTTAAGCACAAGTTGGAAAGTGTTTGTGGGGTGGTCCTTTGCACATTTTTCATCTGCACACACTGTGTGGCCATTCCCAACACGGTATCACCAACACGCTTCACTTCCGCTGCCGAGTCAGAGAAATGAAAAGAGATTCTGTTAAACAGAACAAGCTGATGTTCTGATAGCGTCTTAGATTGCTTAACCTCACCCAGCACCACTGTAATCTCTTCATTATTGCATCTTCTAATAATGTCCCTCTGAGATGAAGCAGGTGACTATCAAGGAAAAGGCCATGGGGGAAATAACACCTTTCTTTTTCAACAAGACAAGGCATGTTCCTAATTAGCCACCCAGAGTCATTTGTGTGAGATGGGCCACCATATAAAACAAATACAATAAATGTAAAAAATAATTATGTTCTTCATTTTATTGACAATGCTAATGCAGCTTTAAAATCACGTGTCTTGCCATTTTTTAAATCTTTTAATTTAATACATATTGTTTACATATCTTTTAATTTAGTACATATTGTTTACATATCTTGATATATCTCCTCTTTTGATGCAAATTATTATGAAAGTTAACTGAAGTACAGTATGTACCTGAATACATGTAGTGCATCAAATGCATTTCTACATAACTTCAAAAAACACCTCTTTATCTGTTGTCTATGGGAAAGAGATATGTCCAAAATGAAAATGTAAAATTTAATCTTCCACCACTAAGAATGTATGAATATAACAGCTACTGATTTAGATTTATAGCATTATGCCACCCTCCAATCATTTCCCTACAATCCAACTGCCTTCAAAAATAGATATAATTCTGGCATTTTCACATGCAGCCTTCTGTTTCCTGGGGAAAAGACTGCTCAGCAAGATATGTTTCAGTGCTACATATATAAAGCTTTCTTCTTGTCACATCATTTCAGAAGAAAATATCAATCCAAGCTGTCAAGCCTGCATTACATTATAGCTGATGAGAGATCTACATCAGGCACTTCCAATGTTAATGTAGAAGGTGGCGTACAACTCAAAGAGAGAGGCGGCAGAGAAGAGAACCACTCTCAAGAAAGTTTACCTGCTTTGCGGGTCAGGGTGAAAGACATGTATCTACAGTCATGCAAAAAGGGACAGAGGCATGTATGTCTCTTAGACTGACCATAAACAGGAGTTTTCCCAGGCAGAATGACAACCACAAGCTGCAGGCCAGCATAGGTGTTCTTGAGATGGCGGAACATCGGTTCCACGCTGTCTGCTCCCTGGGCATATTTACAGAAACAAGGCTGACCCTGGATGGGCATTCCCGCATCTCTTGATATCTTCCTCAGTTGTTCCGTGAAGGTCCTGGCAAATTAAAAGGAAGTAATTTTAAGGGCAGAAACCAAAGTTTTGCATAGCCACGTTACCAGCATGACATTGTATGCTCTACAATTGTGGGTTTTTGACTCCAGAACACATTTATTCCAATCCTTCTAAGTGAGAGCAAAGCCAGTTCCATTCAGAACTGATCTGTGAGGTTACCAGCTTTAATCCTTTCCTTCCTAAACTACATTAGGCCAGGACACTTGAAACAGACTCTTCAAACTCACACCTTTGCAGTTTGGATCAAAACTCCTCTGTCACATTGATTTTTTATTGTTATTATTTATTAAATTTTATACAGCCCAGCCACAGGAGTTCTGTGTGCCCAGTTATGAAAACTTTATTCTCTCTTTCTCTCTGTCCAAGAAAAGCAGCACAAAAACACATACAAACAATGTAAATCGCAACATAAAATGGCCAAAGTAAAAATAAAATACTGACAACATTAAAGTTCTGAACATCAAATGCTTCAAAACATTATTGAAAAATAACCCAGATTTCACTTGATGCTGAAAAGTCTCTCGGGGGAAAGTGTTCCACAGATGAAACTCACCCCTGGAAAAGTCGTTCTTTTGATAGCCAACTAAGGAGCAGAAAAATTATGGTGCTCCAGAAGTTTTGAAATTTACCTACCGTAAGTCCCAGGGACCTTGGTCAAAGGTAATAGAATCTGAAAGGTCAGTTCTAAACTACAAGGCTGCCTACTTAGACTTTATGAGAAGGAAAAATTATTTATTTAATCAACAACCAGAACAATGGAGAAAATTCAACGTTATCCAACAAAAATGTAGCGTATTCAACTAACAGGTTATAAAAACCAACAAGAAAATCAATTCAAAATCATATAAAATTCTAATGACATAGCACATGACATAACTCACCCAGGGTATAATACTTATTCTTCATTACCCCAAATCTAATCCTGCAGTAATTTATAAGTGTTTATTAAATATTACTGACAAAAATGAGAGGCTTTAAAATAATACTGATCTTAAATTTTACTTATTAGATTTTTCTGCCACCACAATCATACAGCTCAGTATTTATCAAAATAAACAGAATATATTTATAATATAAGCAGTTTGAATTTTTTTTCACCCTCTAAAAGATCTAGTTTGAAAATAAATAGTTGCTGTAAAGGAACACAGAGATCAGCTTGGAGAAAACACATGACAGTAAAACATGAGCCCACCCCGGGAAAACAGGAAAACATGAGCAAAACGTGAACCAAGTGGACACTTACTTAAGATGGACTTCAGTGCACTGACGTTGGGGAGCAAAGCAAGCAATGGCCCAGACCTTTATTTCAATTCCAGTATGAAACTGTTTGTTCCTCATATCCCAAACCCCTTGTACTGGGGTAGCAATTGCTTTGTTCTAGAGACAGAGAAAAAATGTTGAATGATTTCCCAGAGCAAAAACCAGAGCGAAGCTCTACAGTGCAGTAATTTCAAAATACTTCCATATTTTGATATCAAACACCTACATGTTAAGGAAAAACAAAGCCACTCACAGCAAGGGTGTCCTCAGGGGATCCCCGCACCCACACGTCATATTATCAAAGCTCTCCTTGGTCAGAAATACAATGAATTGCAGATTGAAGAAGAAACCACACCTTCGTGCAAAAAGCACATGGTGGAAAGTTAGAACAGGCTGCTAGAGTGTGCAACCGTATCTCTTGAACTCTTCTGCCTGTGCCCAACGCGCTGCATGTTCATTTCAGTTGCTCAGGTCCCACCAGAACATTCCCAAGAGAAAGGCAGGTTCCCCTTATTAGTGCTTCTCCACTGGGAGGTAATTCCTGGGTGTGAGAACTGCACACCTGTACACAAAGCATTTGCCCCAGAACAACTGCAAACCACCAAACTGGATACTACATAGCCCATCTGAAATTACAGGAAACTCATACCAACTCTTATTCTAGGCCATGACCAGCAAGGAAAATGAGAAAATGCACCACTGATCCCATAGGACCACTGCTGACATACCCGGCCTCCATAGAGAATTGAAGGTGGCTGTAACACTCTCCCCGTTACATCTGTCATTTCATCTTTGACCATAATTCCAAATTCACGAACGAAAGGGTCAGTATTAAAACTTGCACTTCGCATCTAGGAGGGAAAGAATTATATTGATACAAATCTTTCATAAAAACACGCACCTAAATAATAGATGGGTTTATAGTTGTTTTAGTTGCAATGGAAAATCAACTCTGAATCAAATTAAAAGTCTCTGTAAATTTCTAAGCTTATGCATCATAGAAGCTTATGCATCGTAAGATAGCTTATGCATCGTAAAACAACACTGTCTGGTTTTCCTCTAGTCCAGTGTTGTCCAAACTTGGCCACTTTAAGATGAGTGGACTTCAACTCCACGAATTCCCACGCCACGCTGGCTGGGAGTTCTGGAGTTGTAGTCACTCAT